TTTGTTTGTTTGTTTTTTAACCAAGGCTACAAACTAATCAGGAGAATGGAAGTCAGTGTGACCAGTAGAGCTTCTCTATCACTGGCTACTGTAAAAAATCATGAAGTTGTCTTTTTATATGTACACAGTTGATCAGCAACTGCTCCTTCAAACTACACTCTTTCATACAGAGAGTTGTCATCTTCTACTGAGCCAATCCTCAAATACACAAGGCCATAAGATTGGAATAGCCAGTCCCACTCCAAAGTGGAGTCAAGACAGTTTGCCTCAGATGCCTTCAACCTCTCCTACTACTGTTCTTTTATCCCTTGGAAGTACTCTTCTGTCTCTTTCTACAAAGCAATGAGTGGAGTTATATGCTATTTGTTGTACCCTACTAAATCCAAGTTTTACTGGAGAATTCTGATGATCCTAATTCATAATAATATACAAATGAGTGAAAAAGCTTAAAACTTTCTTTCTTTCAGAGATAGTTGCATTCTAATAGGACTAATGAATAATTCAAGGAACTGAAACTATCAGGTAGAACTTGAGGCATTGTTCACTAGGTTCACAAAACATTGTTTTGGGTTAAGAGAGACCTTTACGATACCCCAAAAATCACACCCCGTAGATGGTCACCTATTTTGACTACATATAATGTCCCACCCTAGACAACAATATATGATACATAAGGAAATAGTCTCCAAAAGTACAATTAACAATAAAACTCGTTTATTGATAGAAAAGCAAAACAAATCTTCCATGAACTCTGATCTCTATTTTATTCTGCCTGCTTGACATGCTCTAACTTAAAAATTAGTCTCTCTTTAACTATAAAACCAGTCCAATAGAATCAGAAACATCAGGTTAAACCAAAAATTATCCTGATCTGGAAGAATAACCTTGATACAGGATAGTCACCCTTTCAGAACCCACTATTCCTCATTCTTGGTTAAGCTTTTGCTTCTGGCATCATTACTCAGGTTGGATTTATTACATTTATATGGAATAGTCCCAAAATCCCTAGGCTGTGTATCCTCAGAGTAACCAGATTGGAAAAGAACTCAAACGGAATTTTATTTAATTCATTTAGCCTCTCCAATGTACATGGAATTGTTCTGATGTGAGCTGGAACTTTGATTAATATAGAATATGAATCATAATTTCTATGATGAACAGGAAATTACCCCAGAAGAATTACTCCATTTTAGTTCACACTGGAATTACATATTTACCTGTGGAAGTCTGATCAGACTAATAAAAACTCTGCTTCTGATTCAATCTGGCAGCCTAGGTTCAAACAGTTGTAGAACACTGACAATTAAGGGAAATGACTTAAAAGTTACATTAATCTACATAGCACAAGAGTGTACCATGAGTTTAGTAATTAACTGATTTGATACAAACAACAATCTGAATAATTCAGGCCCCAGAGGAGGCTTGATTTATTGAGAATGAGCATCATATTTATTAAACAATGCAAATAATTCTCTCTCTCTCTCTCTCTCTCTCTCTCTCTCTCTCTCTCTCTCTCTCTCTCTCTCTCTCTTTCTCTTTCTCTCTCTCTCTCCCTTCCTTTCAACTGTTTAAGCATAACCTTTTATACCACACCACAAATATAAATGAAAAGTAAAAAAAAATCATCTAGAACTTTGCATAACAGTAAACTTTGAAATATTTTTAAAAGAGCCAAATTGTGGTTTGGGTTTTTATCCAGATAGTTGAGTCATGTGGACACAACCATAACTTTATCAGCATTGCTATACTTAAAACACTGATCTAAGAAAAGTAGCTTTTTAAATTACCAATTCCCTGAGCCAGCCAGACCTTCCCACCTTCATATAACGAACAGGGAAAATTTCAATACTCTGATCCTCAGAGAAATAATGCATGCATACACCTAACTCCTTAGGCCTCTCTCAAGATGTAACCATTTGGTTTCCATCTCATTTGTGTAATGGCAGAAAAGAGAATAGAAAAAAGTCCATTGCAAATTTGTACAAAATGTATGTATATATAAATACATATCTATATATGTATAGAAATTCTATGGAAGATAATATCCATCTATGTCTATGAGCTTCAGAAGTCTTACACAATTGAAATAAAGGCATTCTCTCAACTTTCTTTATTAAAGAAAAAGCAGGAATCAAGCATGCCACCTTATTAATAATGAACTGTAAGTGAAGAGGTGAGCTGTAGCTATAGGGTTTTGAAGCAATTGGTTTGACAGAACTTCAGTGAATAAAATCATAAAACAAATCCAGCTATTCCCAGATTACCTTTTTGTGTCATAGAAGAGAATTTTAGTGTTGTGCTGGTACCATCCTAATCTCTTGAGACTATTCAATTAAGCCCCAGGGAAAAAAAAGCAGTGCTTTAAACAGAGTCCATACAAAGGCTCACAAGTGTATTACGATAACAATTTGGTATGAGGACTGCCATTTAATTTAAAAAAAAACTTATGATTTTTTAAATATAAATTCTGTTATATCTCATACAAAATCTCAAATGAGACCTTTGGAAGTTTAGAGTCCTGCTTTTGACTCCTGGACCATATCATCTATACATATAATGATATTACAAATATTAAAGCAGAGTCAATTAGAGAAGTAAAGTATACATGGTTACAGGGACTTAAAATATTTATGAGTTATGAATATATGGGCCCATTTTTGTAGGTAAAAGGTTCTCTCAAAAATATATATAGTGCTTTTATCTCTCCCTCCCGGTCCCTCCCTCTCCCACTTCTTCCTTTGACAGCAATGGCAGAGGGCAATTTTATAATTACCCTAGGCCTGCCAGGCTGCATCCTAGAAGAGGATTATTATTGCAGGCCTTGAATGCACTGTGATTCATAAGGCAAGAAAGGATGAACAACTTCAGCACCAAGGAAATGGAATCATCATCCTGCACTGCACACGATGGAACATCTTATTGCTTTAATAAAATGGGAAATTATTCACTGTAAAATGTGCCCCAAGTGAGGAAAGTAATGTTGTTGCACTTAGTGGCACTCATTGAAAATTAGGGAGCATCCTTTTTGGATCTCTGAATCAATTCAGATTCCAAGTCCAAAGGACAGTTCAGAATAATGAATTAAAGAGCTGCAGCTGGATGAGGGTAAACTACAAAAATTAATGGGCCCCAGTCCTCCCAGTGCCTTAGTCACTCTCTGGTAAGATATCCAAGGCTTAGTGCACTTATGGTTCCCTAGTGGCCCGAGGGAGTTCATGCACTTCACTAAAGGCCTAACTTGTTAACTAGGAAGTGACTAAGGCACTGTGAATAGGATTCATTTATGTTCCAACTTGAACCCACAGATGGAGTCTCTTCCATTCTCCTCACCTCACAGCATGGCAAACTAAATGATGATCCTCAAAGCTTCTGAAAAAGAATTCTTGCAAAATCCTCAAAGGCAGTCTCCCTCACTCCCCCATCTCCTGGGTAAAAGCCCTCTTTTCCAGGAAGCTAGGCAGATGGAGACTACCCAATCAATTCATTATTTAGAAGAGGGATGCACTTAGAGTTTCTGCTTGCCTAAAATCCTAAAGTTCAATTTGGAGTAAATTTGGGTTGTATTACTAGTAGTTTCTTCCCATTGACACAGTTTTCCCATCAGTTAACTGAAAACCACAGTCTTAAGTGAAAGAGTTTCCAGGGCAGATAGAAAAAAAAATACAGCAACTCTCTGTTTCTTCTTGCAAGAAGTCTAAAGGAAACAGAGTGAGAAATGACAACAAATAGACCTTATTTCCAGCATGTAAGCTACACCTGGGTTTGGGAGAAGAATAAAAATAGTTCTATTCTCTCACTGTCTTCTCTTACCCTGTCCGTATGTTCATTAAATCCTGCACCACAACTAAACCAGACACAGAAGGAAAAAGAGAAAAATAGCACCCCTCCCTCCATATACATTGTCACTGATTGCCATCAAAGGTTTCTAAGTTAACAGGATAGCAAGGACCTGTCCCTTACATATTCTGGCTCTAGATGTAACTGCTCCATGAAATCTACATTACTTGTCACCCAAATTGTCTGGCACCCTTTCTACTAGCTCCACTCCCAAGCACATACAGAACAAGCAGGCATTCACACCTTTGCCTCTATGTAGTTATTACATGCAGGGAGGACTACACCAGGTGCTGTTTAAATATTAACCATGTTTTAATAGATGGCAATAGATGCACATCCATTGTTTGGTTCTGTTCGCAAAAGAAAGGAGAAAACGGACGTGTCATCTTTTCATAACAGTCTACTACAGAGTAGGGTACAAAATAACAGTTCTGAAAACAGCAGAAGCCAGGTCTACACCACTGAATTCAATGTTCAGTGGCAACCATTATATCAATAGCTGTAAATGAAGAACAAGAATATACAGTTTGGAGAGCATGGTACAGAATTATAGTTTGCGTAGGCATTCAGTACCAATAGAAGATATAACAAAGGTACACTTGTTCTAAAAATAAAACAAAAATATTCTGGCTGATTAGTTACTGCACTTTCAGTACTGCACATTACCTATTATTGTGTTTTTACAAAAAAGAATAACTTATGCAATGTTTAATATAACTAAACGAATAGTACACACAAATCTGATTATTAAAAAATAATAGGAAAAGAAAGAAAGGAACCAACCAAAGCTAAAACAGTCACCTCCCAAAATAGCCTCTCCACCTGCACAGAGAGTAGCCTGTGCAGTGAGGCAATTTCAGCACCGGACCTGGCTGGAAAGCTCCTCTGGACCATAGGGCGTCTGGGAAGCCCAGTGCAGCCAAAGGGGGTATCGATCACTGAAGGATTCGGAGGGTGGAGGAATTAAGAGATGGGAAACAGAGAAAGGGGCAACAACAATATGGTTGTTTGAAGGGAAGCTAGTGTGTGTGTGTGTGTGTGTGTGTGTGTGTGTGTGAGAGAGAGAGAGAGAGAGAGAGAGAGAGAGAGAGAGAGAGAGAGAGACAGACAGACAGAGAGACAGAGAGAGAGAGAGAGAGAGAGACAGAGAGACAGAGAGAGACAGAGAGAGAGAGAGACAGAGAGAGAGAGAGAGAGAGAGAGAGAGTTCGTGTGTGATGTTATTTTGTTTTTTGTTGTACTTAGGCTCTGCCATCGGAGGACATTTATAAAATTAAATAAATATTCAGTCCTTGAAAGGGAACACTATTAACAGAGGGTGGGAACTAGAATGGGGTGGTGTGGTGTGGGGAAAACGTAGATGTTACAGAAAGAGTGCTTCCTTTTCTGGGTCTCCAACACGTCTGCCCATTAGCATTTGTCTCTCTTTGCATTGGTCCAACCGTATTCAATAAATGCCCCCGTTTACATTGCTCCAGTCTCTCTCCCTGGGGGGTGGGAGGGGATCTTGCCTCTTGTAGTCCTGGTGCTTGGTCTAAATGGTTGCTTTATGATAGTATGCGATTGACTGAGCCCGGTTGGAGTAGAGATGTAAGGGATGGGGAAAGGAGTACAGGAAGAGTGACAGCTTAGAGCGGGTAGAGGTAGGGAGGAGAGGGAGAAGGAGAAGAGAGTGGAAGGTAACCTTAACCTTAAAGCTATGTACATTACCACCGGGGCTCTTGATCTTCCTTCACCTCCAATCTCCCTTCCCTCACTGGGCAATGACTTTATATATTTGGTAGCTTTGTGCGATTTCTCCTCCTTTTTTGGGGGGGGAGGGTGAGCAGAAGGGGAGAAAAATGCATCCTTCCTTGACAATGAGAAACGCGATGTGATTTGTCATGCGCTTGGGTTGTGTTATTAGTATTATCATGATAATTATTAATATTAATAAAGTATTATCATCATCAGCGTTATTTCTTCTTCCGAGACTTTCATTGCTCAATATTTACAAACACCACACAGTGCCTCGGTGGAGGAGGAAAGGGATGAGGGGGCAGGAAGACTGAGGAGAAGGGGGCGAGAGAGGAGGAAGGGGGCTGGAGTCAGAGGAGGAAAGAGGAAGGAAAGGAGGGAAGAGGAGAAGGAAAAGAGGAGGAGCTCTAGGCCATCAAGACAGTACTACCGTTTGCAAAAGCCCCTCACCAGCTGAGTCCAAACACGAGGAGGTGAGATGGGAACCCTGGGGACTGGGGGCAGGAGGGGGAGGAGGAGGAGCATGGGGCCCAGGACGCTGGATGCCAGGGGAAGTGGAGGAAGAATAGGTGGAAGAAGAGGAAGAGGAGGAAGAGGAGGAGGTGGTGGAAGGTGAAGAGGTGCAGAAGGCTGAGTCCCGGGGGGGTCTCTCCAGTCGGGTTTCTTTCCCGTTGTGAGGAGCCTGGCCACAGGCCCTCAGTCCCGCGCTGCCACAGCCATCGCCGCCGCCGCCGCCGCCCCCGCCGCAGCCCCTGCTGTTGCTGCAATGATCCCGCTCATACTCCTCCTGAGCCCTCTGCATCTTCCGCTTCTTCATCCTCCTTTTGTGGATGTGAAAGGTAGAAAGGGAGAGGACGATCAAGCAGAAGATGAGGGTGACCAGAACGATCAGCACCAGCGTGGAAGAGAACGACTGAAAGAGCTGCTGTCCTACTTGAGTGATGCAGGTACCGCCACCACTGCTGCTGCCACCACCGCTGCCTCCAGCGCTACCACTCGGACCCCTGGGGCTGGGATTGCCGCTGGCGTTGGGGGAAGCAAAGGTCCGGTTGAGAAGGCAAGGCGGCAGGGCCAGCCTCAGCTCCTTGGGCACTTTGGCACTCATTGAGGCTGGGCTGGCGAGGGGGAAGGAAAAGGGCTCAGTGTTCTTCTCCTGGTTAGATTGCTTCCGAACAACGAAGAAGAAGAAAACACCCACCACCCAAAACTATTCCCTCTGCGCTGGCGTGTATGTGTGCGTGTGTGTGCGCGCGTGTAACCGATGCCGTGGGAATCCTCTTCTTGCCGGGAATGCTGCTTCGTGCACCCTTCTTCTTGTAAGGTGAAGCACCAGCCTGCAAAGAGAATGGGATGAATTAGTATACAGGCCCGAGGCACGAGAAAAAGAGGACGGAGAACTGCCAGCAAGGTGGACAAGGAGAAGAGAGAGGTGGGCGGAGAACTGGGTAGTTTATGTGGCTACCGCAAAGCGTTCCCGCTTCCAAGCTCAAAGCCTGCTGTTCACCCTCCCAACCACCTCTCCCCCTCCCACTCCGAAGACTGTCTCGCTCCCTTCCCGCATCCCAGCGGGACTCCAGCTCTCCATTCTAGGCTGTGTCCTAAGCTTCGGACCTCGGTTCTCTTGCCACCTTTCCCCAGGGGGCTCGATCTCAGAGTTGGCACTGCATCTGCTCGGATTACTCAGCAGATAAGGAAGGTTGTCTCCCTTAGCCCTTTGCAACTTTCTAATTGTGGCCAACCAGGCAGGCACTGCAGCTCCAGATCTCCATTTCCCGAGAAAGGCTATGTATTCTCCACCCGCCTCCCACCCCACCCATCTTCCCTTCCCAACGAATCTCTAACCCGAGCTAGACGCCTCTAATCCTGCCCTGTGCTGGATCCCGGGCCACCGCATAAACCTCCCTTGCGCAGACCTCCTTTTGCTTCCCCCGACCAGCTACAGCCTCAGGGTCCTCGAGGTCTGTCCTAGGGAGGCTGCTTTCCTTCTCCCTGCGTCCCGTCCCGTCCCACTTTTCCTTTCAGTAATGCAAAGGCAGAGGAGCAGGATTCCCTCAGCTGTCCCATATCTAGCCTTCCAGCTCCCCCGCCCACCGCTCCCCTCTCCGCTCTTGGAAAAACCAGCCTCCCTCCCAAGAAAAAAGGCAACGGGAACACCTTTCTCTGTGTCTTTCTTCTCCCTTCCCCCGCCCACTGTCCCAGGCCCACTTGGACTTCTGTGCCACCACATCATCCTTAATCGCATCAGTTACCCCTTCTCTCTCCCTCCTCGTCTCCCCTCAAAACATCGCGCACCTCCTTCCTGGGAGAGGGGGCGGGAAGGGGGATGGGGAGTGAGCGTCCTGGTTTGCAAAGTTTGGGAGAGCTGCAGTTTCAAAAGCACCTGATCCAACCCGAATGCCAGGAAGTCCATCCCCATTGAGGCAAAGACCCTGGCAGATGTACGACTCCCTTCCTTGCCCTGGCTCTCCCCAGAGACAACTGCAAACTGTTGCACTGCAGAGCAAATAGGCGGCATGCATTGCAGGCCAGCCGGGTCCAGAGCTCAGAGACCCAGCAGCAGTGCGCAGGCAGCTTGTCCTCCGCGCGCAATGCCGTGACACATCGCTCCTTTCGCTTTGCCTCTTACCTGAAGTCTCCGGGTGGCTGCAGTGAGAAGCCCCCGCCGCGCGGATGCAGTGGCGGCTGCAGAAAGCGCGGAGTGAAGCAGTAGAAGCTGGAACAACGCTGCCGCCACCGCTGCTGCTACAGGGAGCTCAGCTCCTAGCCTATTGCCAGAGAGGCTGGTGACGTCAGGCAGCCACTGCCAGTGCTCAGAGCCGTGTCCCCCCACCCCTAAACCCGCCCTAACCCCCCCAACATCCTGCTCTGCTCCCTTGAACACCCCAATACTCCTTTTCTTCTCCTCCAAGAGGATGCCTAAGGGTCTCTCCACCCTACCCTTTTCCCAAATCCCTTACAGAGCCCTCGCTGCACTTTTCTGCAGCCGGTGCTGGGAGATAAACTACCCCAACTCCCCAATTCCCTATTCACTTCCCTGCTGCCAGGATGGCCCTAGAGGTGAAGTAGGAGAACATTTCCATTATCTCAAGGACTCATCACACCCACTACTCATTGCACAAACTAGGCATCCCCCACTTAGCCCAGATGGAGGGAAACTCTCCCCCCACCCCACCCCATACATGCATCTTTTCTAGTATGTTTGTGATAGAAGAGTGGGGGGGGAGGGAGGAAGAAATATATGGACGTGTAATTTTTTTTCTTTTCTGAGTGCGTTTGCCAGACTCTAAAATACAAACCTGAAAGAGCAAGCAGCCTCAAACAATTCAAAATGGGTCACCTAGGGAGAGAAACAGATTGCTCTTTCCTTCAAATACTGTATTTTACCTTTCAACCCCATACAGGCTCTCACACAATCCTCCCTTCCCTCCACCACACTCTTCACCACAGTCTTTAGACCGTTTCTCCTACCATCAACTCTGCACACTCACCATCCAGCTCCCCACATCCTTTGTCCTCGTCCTCCCCCTCCACACACGCTAACGCTTATGCCTATCTCTATCCTGCGAATCATTGGCCACATGCAGATTTCCTCTCCCTCTTATGGGGGCTGACATAACAAGTAAAAGAAAAGAAAAAGTGGGAGCTAAAAGACACACACACACACTTCACACTGCTTTCCACTAACACAACAAAGAACCCACCTCCATCCCCCCAGTATATGTGTGTGCAAGTATAATCGGTATCCACCTACTCCTCTCCCTTCTCATCCACACCATTTCTCCTTCCAAGACTTTACTAACATAGGGTGCCAGTTCCCCCACCCTCTTATAACTTTGCTTCTATTTCCTCCATGTCATACACCCTAAATCCATATCACACCACGTTTATCCCTCCCATACACCTTCTGTAGTTTGGCAATAGCAGTAAAAAATAAAAGAGAAAGAGAGAGATTAACGGGGGCAGGGAGAGTGTTGTTCTGTACCAGGACACGCTTCTTTGATTTAAGCCAGAGAGGGGGTACAATGAGTCTTGTATTTCCATTCTATTTATGCCTTCTTCATTTCCCTAGCCTAAATGCAGCACATCCGGTTTCTTATATTCCTTGGTGATTTGGGGCCTTTTCTTCAGCACAAACTCACTAACAGTTACACAAAAAGTTGGTCTTCACTTTAATTTTTAATAACTTCTTTCAGTATTTGGTGAAGATGTTATATTTCTAAGCTCTAAGTAGCTCTGCAGTATTTGTTCATAGAACAGGTAGGGGGGAAATGCAGTTCATTTAACAAGCACTCTGCCACTTAGTCAATCAGACAACAAGCATTTACCATGCCTTTATTTTGTGCAAGGCACCATGCTAAGCATTAGGAAATATAAAGGCAAAAATTTAGTGATTGCCCTCAGGGTGCTTAGATTCTAATGACAGAGAAAACCTACAAACAACTAGGGAGATACAAGATATATCCAAAGTATGCCAGGGAATGGCAAACCACTCCAATATCTTTGCCAAGAAAACCCCAAATGGGGTCTTGAAGAGTTGGACACAACTGAAAAATGTCTGAACAGATGAAAGGGACTCTGAGATGGGAAATCATGGCATTGGGGTGGGGGGAGAAGAAAGACTTCCTGGAGTAGGTGGGATATGAGCCCAGTTTTGAAGGAAGCCAGATAATATAGAGGTAAGGGAGTAGAGTACTCTAGACAAGGAAGGCAGCTAGTGAAAAGGAACAAAGATAGGAGGTAAGTATCATGTTTGAGGGACTGCATATAGACCAGGGTTGCTAAAATGAAGTGCGTAGAGATGATTAAAGTATAAGAAGACTGAAAAAGTAGGAAGGGGGAAGTTAATGAAGAGCTTTAAATGCCAAATAAAGCAGTTTATATTTGATCCTGGAGGTAATAGGGAGCCACTAGAGTTCATTGATTATTCAAAGACATGGTAAGACCTACACTTGAGAGATATTGCCTTGTTGATTTTTCAGCAAGCCAGTCACCACTGAGTTGATTAAAGGATAGATGAGAGTGGGAGATTAAGGCAGGGAGACCAACAAGAAAGCTATTGCAAGAGAACAGGCAAGAGGTCATGAAAGTTGCACTAGGGTTTTGGCTGGGTGAATTAAAAGAAATAGACATATTGAGAGATGTTGGGAAGGTAAAAGAAAAATGGAAGATTTGGCAACAGATTGGATACATAAGTGAGAGTAAGGAGTTGAAGATCACACTGAGGTTGTAAGCTTGGTTGACTGAGAAGATAGTGGTCCCCTAGACAGTAGTAGGAAATTTCAGAAATGGGGAGAGTATTGAGGTAAGTTAATAAGTTGTGTTTCCCACATATTGAATTTGAGATGCCTATATGATATATAAAAGTCAGTTGGTGAAAAAGGATTAGCGTTCAAGGAAGGGAATTAGTGTGTGGTATACACACATATTTGTGAATATATGTGTCTTTATATATATATGTAAATAGACATATACATATATATATACATATATACCTATATATGTACATAAGCATATAGATACATAGATATATGTCAGGGAATCATTCATATAGAAATTATAATTGAACCCATGGTGCTGATAGGATCATCAAGGAGACAGTATAGAGGAGAAATGAAAGGGGGCCCAGGATAGATCCTTGGAGGACACCCATGGTGACTGGGCATGACATGGATGAAGCATCAACAAAGGAGACTCAGGAGTGGTCCAACTGATAGAAGGAGGAATGGGAGAGCGCACAAAAATCTAATGAGGAAAGAATATCTAGAAGTTTGAGGATTGAGAATAGGGCATTATATTTGGCAATTATGAAATCATTGGTAACTCTGGAGAGGGCAGTTTAAATAGAATGATGGTGCCTGAAGCCAGATTGCAGAGGATTTCAAAGTAGGTGAGAGGAGAGGAAGTGGAGACAGTGAATGTAGATGGCTTTTTCTAGGACCAGGAACAATTGGTAGAAGTGATAGACAATCCTTTTGGCTTGATGGAAGGGGAAAAAAAACCTTTCTAATAATTAGAGCTATCCAATTCCATGGGAGATAATGAGTTCTCTATCACTGGAAGACTCCAAGTGGAGGCTGGATGCTTCTTTATTTGTCATAGATGTTGTAAAGAGAATACCTATTCATATATATGCCAGAATAGAAGATATATAAGGATCCTTTCGAGTGAGAGTTGCAGGATTCTATGATAATTCTGGGGGGGGGGAGTTGGTGGAGGGCCTTAAATTCCAGGCAAAGGAGTTTAATGTGGACATTCTGGAGATTTTTGAACATAGGAGACACCTGAACTGGAATGACCTGAAGATGAATGTATAAGGAAGGATGTTCTAGCCATATCATCTTTTGCTACCTTCCCAATACCCTGCAGCCGTACTCCAAGGAACAAGGATCAGTAGGGGACAATGAAGACAGTGAGGAGCTTAGAATCTTTGGTGCTTTTTCTGCGGTTGTGGGTGATAGAGCACCTGGCACATGTTAAGCAGTTAATAATTTTTTTTAATGAGTTCCTTGTTAAACAATAGCTGTGGCTAATGGTTTTTGAAAATCAGACACATATTTACTGAGAACTAGACGTAGAACAACCTCTGCACGTATTTTAGAATTATTTGCATCAGTGGAAATAACAGCTTTGGTTAGAGTCACCAGCAGTACTGGTTGCAGTTGCTAGCATTGTATAAAGTACTGGACCTGGAATCATGAACACATGAATTCAAATATGGTCTCAGACACTCAGTAGCTGTGTGACCCTGGGCAAGTCACTTAACATCTCTCTAAGTTTCCTTATAGGTAAAATGGAGACCATCTACCTGCCAAAGTTGTTGTGAGGATAAAATGAGATAATTTTTGAAAAGCACGTTGAAAACCTTGAAGTACTATGTAAATTTTAGCTATTGTTATTATAATTATCATCATCATCATCACTGATAGAAAAAAAATGAAGCTTACTGCTCTTCTGTCATGCTAGATAAGGCAACTACTTGTCTCATGTATACAGGCCTTGTATCCTGGAAAAGACTAAGCTCCTTGAGGGCAGAGGTCTTCTTTAAAATATGCTACCTACTTCACCCCAGCATTTAGCACAGGGGCTTGTCTATAATAAATAATTAATTTTACTTGTTGAATTGAATCAATGAGGTGATAATGACAGTAGTCAGCATTTACAAAGCATTCAGTGTGCTAAGTGATTTACAAATATCCTCTCACTAGAGTCTCAGAACAACCTATTATTAATCCCATTTTACACTTCAGGAAATTGAGGCAAACAGAGGCTAAATGTGCTTGCCCAAGGTCACTCAGATAGTGTCTGAGGCCAGATTTGAATTCAGTTCTTCCTCACTCTTTTTGTTTTTGGCTAGGCAATGGGATTAAGTGACTTGCCCAGGGTCACACAGCTAGTAAGTGTTATGTGTCTGAGACCGGATTTGAACCCAGGTCCTTCTGGATCCAGGGCTGGTACTTTATCCACTGCGCCACCTCTCTGCCCCTCTTCCTCACTCTTCACCCAGAACTCAATCTACTGTGCCACCTAGCTGTCACCCAAGACATTATAGTTGAGGCATAGTAGGTATAGAAGAAAGATGCCCAGACAGAAACTTAGGTTTGAATTCTGGTTCTGCCACTTACTAGATGTATGCTCCTAGAGAAGTCACTTTACCTTTCAGAGGCTCAATATTCTTTATCTACAAAGTGGGAAAGATGGATCACTCTAAGTTATCTTTCAGCTCTGATATTCTATTACTCCATCAGTCATTAAGATGATATCAAAG